GTTATTATTGGGGTGCTTTTGGGAAAAATGAAGTTAATTTCAAGCAAGGATGTTGATTTGCTACTTTATCATATTTAAGTGACCAATTAGAGGGGCCCGGTTTTCTGGTTAATGGGGTGGTAGCTGCAATGCAGCAGTTTGGTTTGAGCAGGGGTTGCTCTCCAGAGGGGATCTACAAGCCACATAGACAAAAGTGGGGCTTTCTGCTTCAGATAAGGGAGCAACCCAGTGGCAGACCAAAAACCACATCCTGCTTCTCCGACCCCTGTGAAAAAGGGGTAATTGGGTTGACCCAAACACGGACCACCGCTGCCCCCCCATACCATAGGGGGAAGCATAGATTACGGCTGCGTATCCATCCCGGCCCAAATTTATTAAAATAAAAAAAAAGTGCTAACCAAAGGCCCCCCAACAGCGCTTCCCCGGCCCCTAGGGGCAAAAAAAAAAAAAGTGGGCCCCCACCATGGACTTTCATTTTTACCCTTATCATCTTGCCCTTTCATTAGCCGTGAAGGGTCATTAACTCTATTTCTTTGTCTGAATGCATAAATTCAACATGCAGTTTGTATCATTATCTAAGCTTCAATGTAAAACTTGGTCTCAATTCCCTACCCTTCCCCAATCCCCCTACTCTTTTGCAATCCTACTTTTTCTTACCCCCTTTAACTTTTTTAATAAAAATTCTACGTATACTTTGCCCCGGTTTCTCAACAGGGTTTTACCCTTCAGTTTTTACACTTTTTTTCCCTTTTTAAATTATAAAAGGAACTATTATGCAAACCCATGGCAAACCTTTTAAATCCCTTTCCTTTTACAATAAGTACTGAATGAAAAACAAATTTCCAAAACTCACTTCCCACACTTTTTTCCCTTCATTTTTACCCACTGCCCATACTTTTTTCACATTCGCCTTGGCTTTTCCCGACTTTTCCCTACATAAAATACATTTAATTTTTAATTTATTAAAATATCCTCATGTAGGGTAATATATACTATTTTACCACTAGGACATGGCTTATTATGTATATTTTTAATCAAAAAGAATCTAACCCTTATTATGTACGAGAAAATGTACTATCATCATAAAACTATTTTTGTAAGTTGAAGATTACTTATTAAAGGGTTTTGTAGGTACTCTTGAATATATGTAACAGTGTTTATGTAATAAATTACATCCCTTTATTACGTATTCATGAGAATTACAAAATCTGTAGATCAAAAAGGGTAGGCAAAAAATTTTTATCCAGGAAAGGAGGGGAAATTTTTAAATTTCCCTTGGATCGGGAACCCTTCACCACCATCAAGGTACCCATTTACTTTTTAAAATCTAATAGGCTGCAGAACCTTCCCCTGTTTCCTTTGTTTCAGTTTGTCAGCTTTTTTATTTATTTAAAAAAAAAATTCATTTTAAGTAATAAACTGAAAACACAGTATTTTGTAAAATTGTGCAAAATTTTCCCGACTAATTTTTACAAAACAGCCCCCTCTTGTCTTTAATGTTATTTTAAATTTTAGTAAAGAAAAAAATTTTTTAATTAGGATATACATGAAACCAACTTGGTTTAAAACAGGTAGACCAGGTGGATGGGTGGACCATACTCTCAGAACACGTGTACCCAAACCCAAAGGGTGAAGGATGACAGAAAGGGGCAGGAGGTTTTCCCAAACCCCAAACTTCTACACTCTGGAGACTTTTACAAGGTCAGATAATGATTATCATGTATACCTTTTTTTTTTAAATAAATGCTGATCCCACAGAGGCAGGGTGGCCCAAAAATAAAAACAAAAGTTTTTTCCTTTTTTAAATTTTTAGTAATACTACATTATATATCCCTTTATAAAAGGGGGAAAGGGGACAAAAAGACTGTAAAATTATGAGGAATAACTTATGAGTATCCCGGGAAAAAGGTACGGTGGGGTTTTAATTGAAAGAATTAGAGGTAAGACAGAATGTAGGATTGCGGAGACAAGGGGTTTTCAGATGGGGGGGGATGTGTAGATCAGGTTTTTACATTGAAGCTAATGTAAAACATATTTAGATAAGATAGGGAAGTTTTTATTCTTTTGGATTTAAAAAAGGGCATATGATAGAGTGGATAGGGGACAAGGGGCAGATGTTGCAAGTATATGGAATGGGGGTAAGTTATTAAATGCTGTAAAAGTTTCATGAGGATAGTAGGCTCGGGTTTAGGGTTTTAAAAGGGGACTATTTTCCCGAAAAGTAGCTTAGACAGGGATGTGTAATGTCACCATGGTTGTTTAATAATTTTGAGGGGGTTTAAAAGGGAAGTAAATCGGGGTTTTTGGGAAGGGGGGATTAAATATGGGGAATCAAATCAAATGGGAATTGACCATTACTTTTGCTAGATACTTGCTTAGGGGGAAACTAAAAAAAAAATGCAAAGGGTTTGTGGATGAGTTTTGGGAATGGTGTAAAGGGAAAAGTAAGGAACATAAAAAGAGTAAGGGATGAGGTAAAAGATTTAGATAAAGAAAAAAATTTGGGTTCAAATGGGGGAGGAGTAGGAAAAGGAAGTTTTCGATCTTTGGGGGTTTTACGTGTCGGCGGGTGGATTTATGAAGGTGAGGTTAATCTAGAATTATGAGGGAAAAAAGGGGAGTGGGGCGTTTGGGGATATGTGGGGTCAAAAAAACTTATCTATGGAGGCAAAGAAGGGAATTATGAAAGATAGTATACCAAACTCTTATATGGGGTTTGGGAAGCTTCGGTGGTAAATGCAGCAGGAGAGAGGTTTGGGGGCAGGGAAGGGCCTGTTTTAAGGGGGAAAGTTGGGTAAAATATGCAGAAAAATTTGAGTGTGGAAATTAGGAGAAGGGGGAGTTAAAAAAAAGTATTATCAGAGGGCAGAAAGGGGTTTTTTGGGGGTGGTTTTGGGCATTTGAGAGAATGGATCAAAGTAGAATACAGGAAAGCATATAAACTAAGGGAAGGAAAGGGGGGGTAGGGGGCGTCCTCGAAAGGGTTGGAGAGAGGGGTAAAGGAGGGGTTTTTTGGGGAAGGGCTTGGACTTCCAGCAAGCGTGCTAACATGTTAATTTGGAGGAAGGAGACGAATGGGACTTGGACCCGAAAGATCTTTGGAGTGTGAGCAGGGTAATATTTAGGAAGGGATTCGGGGAAACCGGTTATTTTCATATAGTGGGGACTTGAGTCCTGGAATGGAAGTACAATACCTGCACTTTAAAGGAGGGGTTTGGGATATTGGCAGTTTGGAGGGAGATGTTGTGTATCTTTATATGTGTATGCTTCTAGACTGTTGTATTCTGAGCACCTCTGCAAAAACAGTGATAATGTGCGAGTGTGGTGAAAGTTTTGAATGATGATGAAAGTATTTTCTTTTTGGGGATTTTCTTTCTTTTTTTGGGTCACCCTGCCTCGGTGGGAGACGGCCGACTTGTTGAAAAAAAAAAAAAAATTATATACAGGAGAAAGGGTTACTAGCCCCTTGCTCCTGGCATTTTAGTTGCCTCGTACGACACATGGCATCATGTATATCGTGATTTTGTTATTTCTGTATGAATCCTTTGGGTTTAGTTATCTTGTGCTATTATGTATTATTGTTGTTATGATCAATTTAAGCTTTAACCCTGAAGTGGTCATACAGTGCTACTCATGAATCATTAGTTTGAGAGTAATATTAAGATCTTTTTATTTGAATCGTTGATAACTGCTAACCCACATAGTGGTCATATAGCATCTGGGGAATGGTAAGCATTTAGATTCGATCCTTAGATCAAGGGCCCTTCACTGTCATGAAGACCCCCCTTTTAAGAGAATAGTATTCACAAAATACACAAACTGCTTTTAGTATTGGGAACAAGTGCCATTACAATTATATTTCCCTTGATGCTGGTGAGGGGCTTTTGATGTACATCATTAGTCACAGAAGTGTCAAACCTTTAAGAATCATACAGGGCCTGTAGAATAGAAGGTAAAGAGGATTGGAAGGAAGACAAGTGCAGCTCCTTTCCGGACCGGTCCCTCACATGAAAGAATTCCCCTTTGAAAGATCGCCCCTTTTTTTTTTTGCCACATTGGCCTTTTCCCCACAAGCAGGGTGACCCAAGGGAGGAAAACATATTATTTCTATTTTTATCTTAAATTTTTCCCTTTTTATATTTTTTTTGTCGTTTTCAGGGGGACTTTGGTATTTGGGGGGAGATAACAATAAAAGGAGGAGATCGCTATGTCCTGAATACGCCCCCCAGCAGAAGATCAAGTCTCGCCTCAGTTGCTTGCGTCTCTTATTACATTTTTGGCGGAAAAAGGGGAGAAAAAAAATGACAATAAAAAGAAACTAAATATGACGTGGTTCCTGTTTTTGTTTTTTGTTACCCATTATTATAATCAAATAAAGGTTCAACCCAGGGTCATGCAGTGTATGTTATCTTTTTTTACTATTAATGCTGTATAGCCCTTGGGCTTAGCGTTTTTGATTTAATAAAAATCTATTTAAAATTCTTTTGGGTCAGTATACCACTGCTCATAGATATGCAATCTGGCACTATACTTATGGGCATGCTATCTGGCGGTATGCTCTTTTATGTGTTATCTGTTCTTTGAAATGCTATCGACAAAAAGCTAAAGTTTATTTTTTTTTAATCAAAAAAAAGCGTAAGCCCCCAAAGGGCTGCTAAAGTTTAATGAACAGACGGATCAGAAAATAACACTTTTAAAATTTTGGGGGGCCGACAGATAAAAGGCTAATAAGTTTTCCCTTATTTATGAAAAATAAATCTTACCTAATGGCAAATTTTAAAATTTAAGTATTGAAATTTTTTCATAATGCAATGTGGATTACCAGAATGGTGATAGCCACAGAGCCAATGCAAAAATAAAAAAACATTTTAACAATTTTTTTCAACAAATTTAATTTTTTTTCAATTAATTCCCACCTAAAATTTTCATACTAATATTAAAAAAAAATGCAAACAAAACAAAATTTTTAAAATTTCAAAAAATTTTTTTAAAAATAGAAAACCTGGGCTTTTTTTTAGGGTACCTATTTGTGATAAATACTGAACCACCAAGTTGTACAAAATTCCTTCCAGAAATGTGGTATTAAACAATGTCATGCACAAAATTGATTACAATATTCCTTATACTTATTATACAGGTATAATATAATAAAAATAAATTTGGGTCAAATTATAACGAGTGTTAGACACCCAAAAAGATACAAATATTCTCGGACACACATGAGGTGCTATCAAAAAGTTCCTTTACTACTATCTGCGTGCTTCCTGGGTGAAATATGGGGATGGTAAAAATCAAGCTGCACAGTACACTCCTCTGTGAAGTAACATGTCAAGTTTCAGTGCGGTCAGTCATTCCATTGAGGTTAGATAAGCAGCTTTTGTCATGTCAGTGCACTTTGGGGATTTTTTTTGTATAACAGAGTGGAATCTTCAGAAAAACAATGAGTGAGAGACAGACATGTTATCAGGTTAGGGTGTGTAGGAGGGAGACTACTTCCTGGTAAAAGTAGGTCTTAGACAGGGATGTGTAATGTCACCATGGTTGTTTAATATATTTATAGATGGGGTTGTAAAAGAAGCACATGTTAGGCTGTTGGGGGAGAGGTGGGATTAAATTATGGGGAATCAAATAAAAAATGGGAGTTGAGACAGCTGCTTTTTACTGATGATACTGTGCTTATGGGAGATTCTAAAGAAAAGTTGCTAAGGTTAGTGGACGAGTTTGAGAGGGTGTGTAAAGGTAGAAAGTTGAAAGTGAACATAGATAAGAGTAAGGTGATGAGGGTATCAAACAATTTAGACAAAGAAAAATTGGATATCACACTGGAGACAGGGAGTATGGAAGAAGTGAATGTTTTCAGATATTTGAGAGTTGACATGTCAGCGGAGGGGTTTATGAAGGATGAGGTTAACCATAGAATTGATGAAGGGAAAAAAGGTGAGTGGTGCATTGAGGTATATGTGGAGTCAAAAAACGTTATCTATGGAGGAAAAGAAGGGAATGTACGAAAGTATAGTGGTACCAACACACTTATATGGGTGTGAAGCTTGGGTTGCAAATGCTGCAACAAGGAGGTGGCTGGAGGCAATGGAGATGTCCTGTCTAAGGGTAATGAGTGTAAATATTATGCAGAGAATTCAGTGTAGAAATTAGGAGGAGGTGTGGAGTCACTAAAAGTAGTGTATTAGTCAGAGGGCTGAAGAGGGGTTGCTGAGGTGGTTTGTTCATTTAGAGAGAATGGATCAAAGTAGAATGACTTGGAGAGAGTATAAATCTGTAGGGAAAGGAAAGTGGGGTAGGGGTCATCCTCAAAAAGGTCAGAGGAGGTTTTGTGGGCGAGGGGCTTGGACTTCAGTGTCCCATAGCTCGATCGCTAGCGCACTCGGCTCACACAACGAGATCAAGTTCGAATCTCCTCAGGTAAGGCTGGAAAACATTAGGGACGTGTTTCCATAAGATACCTGCTGTCCCTGTTCACCCATCAGTGTAAAATGGGTACCTGCATGTGGGTCGACTGGTGTGGGTTGCATCCTGGGACAAAAACTGACCTAATTTGCCCGAAATGCTCAGCATAACAAGCGGCTTTCTATATACTAGTATGTCACTCATGTCAGCTAGGCCTGTATACCTTGTAAATAAAGATATTGTAATTATTATAAGCACGTGTGAGCATGTTAGGAGTGAATGGAGACGAACGGTTTTTGGGACCTGACGAGCTGCTGGAGTGTGAGCAGGGTAATATTTTGTTAAAGGATTCAGGGAAACCGGTTAGCCAGACTTGAGCCCTGAAATGGGAAGTACAATGCCTGCACTTTAACCCTTTGACTGTCGCAGGCCCCTTTCTGAAACTCATTCTATGTCGATTAATTTTTGGAAAAAAAAAAATTATTTTTTCTTATAAAATGATAGAGAATCTTTTCCCAATGGTAATGACACCAAAAGTACGAAATTTGGTCGAAAACTCACGGAATTACACTCCCGCAAAGTTAGCGGTCTCGGTAACATATAAGCATCAGTGATTGTGCCGACTTTGAGCCCTGTTTTTGGCCAATTCCGTTGTTCCAGTTGACCAAAATCATAGCTATTTCTTTAGAACTCCATTTTTTCTATCAGTTGAGTACAAGAAACTGCCCATTTACCGATTTTAGCTACCCAATAAAGTGGTCAGAAATTGGCAATTTGGCCAATTTCACGCAAATTAAAAAAGATGCCAATTTCAAAATACGGTCCAGAATAAACAATGTAGACATTCTTGGCACTAAAATAACATATCCTCTGTTCATTAGTCACATCTCTAGGCCCCTCTTATATTACTATTGCTTTCTATTTTGATTTTTTAGTCATACAAAAAAAATACAAAATTTACTGTTTTGCAGGCTACTGCATTATTGTAAAAATGGTATAAATAATATCAGTGCACTAGTGAAAGAATATTAGACTCCCCAGTTGAAGTGTATTAGACGTGTGGTGTGATTTGCTTACTCCTGAACATTGGTAAAAATCGAACATTTCCGCTACTTTGAGCTCAATTTCAAGGTCGTTTTTGTGAAACTAATCAAAATCATCTCTATTTCTGTAATATGTTTTCCATTTTATCACCCAAGACCATGAAAAGGAGAATACAACGATAAATACTCTACAAAAATACACCTCAAAGTCAGTGTTTTAGTCCAAAAAACGATCATTTTTTCTCATTACGCACTGCGTGCTGCAGGATTTTTTTTATGTGGTGCACATTGACCACACAGACCCATTCTCTCACATGTGGGCCTACCAGCTTTCTCCCACTTGATTTGAAGCCGCTAGAATTTACGCATATAAATACGTCAGAAACAGTGGTTCGCAAGACGTATATTATGACCGAAACAGTCAAAGGGTTACAAGAGGGGTTTGGGATATAGGCAGTCTGGAGAGACTTCTAAACTGTCATATCTGAGCACCTCTGCAAAGACAGTGATTAATTACGAGCGAGGCGAAAGTGTTGATGAAAGCATTTTTGTTTTTGGGGATTTTCTTTCTTTTTGGGTCACCCTGCCTCGGTGGGAGACGACCGACATGTTAAAAAATATATATATATTTTTTTTTAACAAGTCAGCCATCTCCCACCGAGGCAGGATGACCCAAAAAAGAAGGAAAATCCCCAAAAAGAAAATACTTTCATCATCATTCAACACTTTCACCTCACTCACAAATAATTACTGTTTTTGCAGAGGTGCTAAGAACACAACAGCTTAGAAGCATATACCTATAAAGATACACAACATATCCCTCTAAACTGATAATATTCCAAACCCCTCCTTTAGAGTGCAGGCATTGTACTTCCCATTTCCAAGACTCAAGTCTGGCTATATAAAAATAACCGGTTTCCCTGAATCCCTTCACTAAATATTACCCTGCTCACACTCCAACAGATCGTCAGGTCCCAAATACCATTCGTCTCCATTCACTCCTATCTAACACGCTCATGCACGCTTGCTGAAAGTCCAAGCCCCTCGCTCACAAAACCTCCTTTACCCCCTCCCTCCAATCTTTTCGAGGACGACCCCTACCCCGCCTTCCTTCTCCTACAGATTTATACGCTCTCCATGTCATTCTACTTTGATCCATTCTCTCTAAATGACCAAACCACCTCAACAACCCCTCTTCAGCCCTCTGACATACTTTTAACTCCACACCTTCTCTTAATTTCCACACTCCGAATTTTCTGCATAATATTTACACCACACATTGCCCTTAGACAGGACATCTCCACTGCCTCCAACTGCCTCTTTGCTGCTGCATTCACAACCCAAGCTTCACACCCATATAAGAGTATTGGTACTTCTATACTTTCATACATTCCCTTCTTTGCCTCCATAGATAATGTTTTTTGTCTCCACATATACCTCAATGCACCACTCACCTTTTTTCCTTCATCAATTCTATGATTAACCTCATCCTTCATAAATCCATCCGCCGACACGCTAACTCCCAAGTATCTGAAAACATTCACTTCTTCCATACTCCTCCTCCTCAATTTAATATCCAATTTTTCTTTATCTAAATCATTTGATACCCTCATCGCCTTACTCTTTTATATGTTCACTTTCAACTTTCTACCTTTACACACTCCCAAACTCTTCCACTAACCTTTGCAATTTTTCTTTAGAATCTCCCATGAGCACAGTATCATCAGCAAAAAGCAACTGTTTCAATTCCCATTTTGTATTTGATTCCCCACAATTTAATCCCACCCCTCTCCCGAACACCTTAGCATTTACTTCTTTTATAACCCCATCTATAAATGTATTAAACAACCATGGTGACATTACACATCCCTGTCTAAGACCTACTTTTACTGGGAAGTAGTCTCCCTCTCTTCTACACATCCTAACCTGAGCCTCACTATCCTCATTTAGTAACTTACCACCTATTCCATATACTGTACTTGCAACATCTGCCACATTGCTTCCCTATCCACTCTATCATATGCCTTTTCTAAATCCATAAATGCAATAAAAACTTCCCTACCTTTATCTAAATACTGTTCACATATATGCCTCAATGTAAACATTTGATCTACACATCCCCTACCCACTCTGAAACCTCCTTGCTCATCCGCAATCCAACATTCTGTCTTACCTCTAATTCTTTCAATTATAACCCTACAGTACACTTTTCCTGGTATACTCAGTAAACTCACTCCTCTATAATTTTTACAATCTCTTTTGTCCCCCTTCCCTTTATATAAAATGACTATACATGCTCTCTGCTAATCCCTAGGTACCTTCCCCTCTTTCATACATTTATTAAACAAAAGTACCAACCACTCCAACACTATATCCCCCCTGCTTTTAACATTTCTGTCATGATCCCATCAGTTCCAGCTGCTTTACCCCCTTTCATTCTACATAATGCCTCACGCACCTCCCCCACACTCGCATCCTGTTCTTCTTCACTCCTAAAAGATGGTATACCTCCCTGGCCACTGCATGAAATTACCGCTTCTCTTTCTTCGTTGACATTTAAAAGTTCCTCAAAATATTCTCGCCATCTACCCAAAACCTCCATCTTCCCATCTACGAACTCCCCTACTCTGTTTTTTAACTGACAAATCCATTCGTTCTCTAGGCTTTCTTAACCTGTTTAACTCGCTCCAAAATTTTTTCTTATTTTCATAAAAATTTCTTGACAGTGCCTCTCCCACTCTATCATCTGCTCTCCTTTTGCACTCTCTCACCACTCTCTTCACCTTTCTTTTACTCTCCATATACTCTACTCTTCTTATAACACTTCTGCTTTGTAAAAACCTCTCATAAGCTAACTTTTTCTCTTTTATCACACCCTTTACTTCATCATTCCACCAATCACTCCTCATTCCTCCTACACCCACTCTCCTATAACCACAAACTGCTGCCCCACATTCTAATACTGCATTCTTAAAACTATTCCAATCCTCTTCAACCTCCCCTACTACTCATACTTGCACCAGCCCACCTTTCTGCCAATAGTTGCTTATATCTCACCTGAACTTCCTCCTCCCTTAGTTTATACACTTTCACCTCCCTCTTGCTTGTTGTTGCCATTTTTCTCTTTTCACATCTTCCTCTTACTCTAACTGTAGCTACAACTAAATAATGATCCGATATATCAGTTGCCCCTCTATAAACGTGTACATCCTGGAGCCTACCCATCAACCTTTTATCCACCAATACATAATCTAACAAACTACTTTCATTATATATACGCATTATATACATACACAGATTCTGTTTCAAGCTTAATCAACCAGTTAGTGACCCCTCACAAAATGCTTCAGCAAACAATTAGTGACAAAGCAATGGATCAGACAGTGTTTTGAATGGTTTTCTTGATTCAAGGCAGGATGAACATCAGTTGAGGGATGAATGCTCTGGTCATCCATCAAAGTCAAAGTCACAAATAGATGCCAACATTGGAAAATAACATGGTAATATCCTACCCTTTCAATTCCCAAGATTTAGCTCCCTGCGACTTCTTTCTCTTCTAAAAAATAAAAATGGCATTCAAGGGGCAGTGTTTTAATGATGAAAAGATTCAAACAAAATTGCAGAGCTTGCTTGGCACCATTAGGAAAGAAGAGTTCCAAAAATGTTTTGAGAAATGGCAGTGGTGCTAGGATCAGTGTACAGCCTCCTAAGTTGAGGAAGGCAACTTTGACCAGGTGATGAGGCAAGCCTATATTTTTTTTGCAGCAACAGCAGTGCCAGAATTGCTTGATAGCACCTCATACTTTCTAAAGCTTATCGCCAATTTCTGTATTTTATCCTTTAAAAATTATATGGTAGAATACCATACAAATGTAGTAAAAAGCATGGGAAATAATGTAAGAGAGAGAAAAAGTGAATTCCTAGGGTTATGAAAGGTAGAAATATTTAAATAGATTCAGGGAAAGGACTGCATGAAAATATATGGTACTTTTTCCAACTCTGACCCACGAGAGTTAAACATGAAATGAGAAACACATAAATTTCAAGTATTGGAAGAGTTACTGAAATTAATGAACTGATGAAAATATGCAATGCAAAAAGGTAAGAAAAAAATAAGTAACAGAAGTAAACAAAAATAGAAATACAAGCCTGGAGGCTTATTAAGAGGCCCATTTATTAGTCCTATATCTATTTTTTTAAATGTAACTAATATACAATAAGTGTTTTCTTTGGATCACCCTGCCTTGGCGGGAAATGGCCATTAGGTAAAAAAAAAATCAAGAACCAAAATATTTTTGCAAAGTTTTATGACTAATATCCAATACCAAAATATATTTTATTGTATATGCCCCTAGAGATTCTGTAGGCTCCATTACCAGGTCTCCTGGTTTCTTGTTTCATCAAACTCACCTGTCTGATGGTTAACTATATAGTGCAAATGAACTTGAATATTTAATTCTTAATTTTACATGCTGCAGTCCTCCTGCAAATATGAGTAAACTGTATGTACTCTACAGTGTCAACTCTCAATTTTCGAATCTGACTTTATTTATGCTTAATAATGCACAGTAATAGTGACCTGTATCTCAGGGGCAGAACATTCATCTCATAAATGAAAGAACCCACATTTCATTCCCATTTTGATGAAGCAGGGACAATTCTCTTTACTCTGCTGCCCCTATTCATCTAGCAGGTACTGCTAGATGGACGGGGGTAATCTAGGTATGTAGATAGATACAGTGCTTAGCAGGTACTGTATCTGGATGTCTACTGTTGTCGGTCACATAGTAAGGGGTGGTATGCTCTAGCATGTAAATTAAATGATGTATAAAAGCAATATGAAAACAGACTAGGGGCTCTCTTGTAATTGCTAACTTGAGTTTATCAGGGTCAAGATTTAGCTTTTGGGCTAGAATTATGATAAAAATTGGACATGAATTAGTTCTATGACATTTACATTTGAATTGTATAGGCTCAATTATTCATTCTGCATCTTCATACTTACTTGTGCCTCAATAAACATATTTAGGTTCCCATTCCTGGCCCCTCATCCTAGATGGTGTGTAAGCTACATTTGCTGTGCTAATAACTCTTGACAGTTCAAGCACCTTAAACAGAAGAAATAGATGGAGAAAAAACTACATATATCTGTTATCTTATCTACATTTGTTATCTCGTCAGTTATTAGAAAAAAAATTATTATTTAGAAGCTGTTGAATTCATTTTACCTAGTAACTTACCGGTTATTCTTAAAACTCAAAAATAAAACCTAAATTTCCAAGTCTTCTAGGCTTATACAGCAAGTAAAATTCCGGCAATAAAAGCAGGTCAGGAGATGAGCATTGCAATTGTACATGCTCTTCAAAATCAAAACTATATAGTTTATCCTTTCTTGTCACATAAGGAATGTGTTCAATGTTGTTGAAAATATTATGAATAAAATGTTTACACAGTGTGTGTATATACACACTTACAAACATAGCAAGTAGCCCATCTTAGTAAAATGGTACACAAGAGTAAATATATGTACTTGAAAAATGAGGAACAATTTTCTTTTAAATTTCTACTTTGTGCAATGTCTATATTGTGGAATTTCTACATTATACATATTCAAATTTTAGAGGAAAGTTCATGAATCTCAAAGAATTTTTTGGCTATTATCATAAAAAATTTCATGTTATTACTTTTACTGGAAGACTTTATATTATAAATATTATTTTAATGAGAAACTAAATATCACACTATTAAAACTGTAATCTTTTATCTAAAACAGTTATAAAAATAAAGATTCACTAAAATAAATTAACAAATACTTGTTGGTCAAAGAAAATCTCAAAATGGAGCCACTTAATTCAAGAAAGTAGACAGCAGTTCAATACACACTTCCTTATCTTGATCATTATTGCATCTGTCATATTTAAAGAATAATTTTAATACTACATGTGGAATGAAGGTTAACTCAGTAAATACATGAATATCATATAGCATAAAAAAATATCAAATAAAAGAAGGGTTATTTTTTTATGGGGTATATCGTTAAGCCAGTTCAAGGCCTGAGAAATTATCAAACTTTTCATAATACAACCCCTTTCTCCTTGGAAGTGCTTCCATTGGCAACAAGAGACCAAATAATGTGTTAACTAAATAATGGATAAAAAAGAAAATAATGGATATGTTTAATTAATTTTAGCACTGGTTCTTCAGATAATTACTTTCACTTAGCTTTTATATCTCCTTTTATTCTCCATGCTCCTAAAGTGTAACGCAGCCAAATGATGAATAGGTCAAGACCCATCTCTAGCCAACTCAGTACTGGAGTCAACTTAGTTCCTGGTAAGGTAGTAAATCATTAGAACCTAACTGTAGTAATAAGGTAAAATAATGATTAATTAAAATTTACCACTGTTGAACCTGTCTAGTTTTAAGTACAGTGGTACCTCGAGTTACAAACTTACTTCGCTCCAGAAGGCTGTTTGAGTGCCAATACCGCTGCTGCTGTAGCACCATCAGCTGCTGCTGTAGCACCATCAGCTGCTGCTGCTGCTGTAGCACCGTCAGCTGCTGCTGTAGCACCATCAGCTGCTGCTGCTGTAGCACCGTCAGCTGCTGCTGCTGTAGCACCGTCAGCTGCTGCTGTAGCACCATCAGCTGCTGCTGCTGTAGCACCATCAGCTGCTGCTGCTGTAGCACCATCAGCTGCTGCTGCTGTAGCACCATCAGCTGCTGCTGTAGCACCATCAGCTGCTGCTGCTGCTGTAGCACCGTCAGCTGCTGCTGTAGCACCATCAGCTGCTGCTGCTGTAGCACCATCAGCTGCTGCTGCTGTAGCACCGTCAGCTGCTGCTGCTGCTGTAGCACCGTCAGTTGCTGCTGCTGCTGCTGCTGCTGCTGCTGCTGCTGTAGCACCATCAGCTGCTGCTGCTGCTGTAGCACCGTCAGCTGCTGCTGCTGCTGCTGTAGCACCGTCAGCTGCTGCTGCTGCTGCTGCTGCTGTAGCACCATCAGCTGCTGCTGATGCTGTAGCACCATCAGCTGCTGCTGCTGCTGTAGCACCATCAGCTGCTGCTGCTGTAGCACCATCAGCTGCTGCTGCTGTAGCACTGTCAGCTGCTGCTGCTGTAGCACCGTCAGCTGCTGCTGCTGTAGCACCATCAGCTGCTGCTGCTGCTGTAGCACCGTCAGCTGCTGTAGCACCGTCAGCTGCTGCTGCTGTAGCACTGTCAGCTGCTGCTGCTGCTGTAGCACCATCAGCTGGTGCTGCTGTAGCACCATCAGCTGCTGCTGCTGCTGCTGCTGCTGCTGCTGCTGCTGCTATAGCACCGTTGTTGGTGTGGCTTATCGAGAATACCGAGAAACAATTAACCCCAGAGGGTTAGCCACCCAGGATAACCCAAAAAAGTCAGTGTGTCATCGAGGACTGTCTAACTTATTTCCATTGGGGTCCTTAATCTTGTCTCCCAGGATGCGACCCACACCAGTCAACTAACACCCAGGTGAACAGGAAAAAATGCCTGGAACTAGTGCTCATATTGGTGAATTAAGGCACGGATTAATTTGATTTCCATTATTTCTTATGGGGAAAATTAATTCAACCTACGATCATTTCGTCTTATGATAGGCTCTCAGCAACGGATTAATATTGTAGGTCAGGGGACCACTGTATTCACTGAAAAGCTAGTTTGCCAAAAGTATGCAAACATCACAATACAACCATCTGAACAACTTCATCAGCCCTGTACTGAAAAACTATATATTTAATTATTTTTCTTCAGTACAGGGTTTCAAATAATTGACACTATGCTGTCTATGAGGGAGGAAATTAGTAAGACACATAAATACAACATATAAAGGTACTTAATATATAGTGTAGTTACTTTATATCACAATGGTCATGAATTCTATTAAAGGAAACAAACATAGAAAAAAGTGTTCAATTAAATTTTGTATTTCAAAATTTGAACTAAGAAATATTGTAGTGCAAATTCTTGCATTAGAATTGCTTACCTTCAATCTCATTCCATTCAACAGCAACTTCATCAATAGGGATCTCAAGACACTGAGCTATATGTAGCATTTCTGCATCAAAAGCCCTGGAACAGGTAAAGGTCAAAAGTGTCCAGCAGAGGACTCGCCATTTGGTCACCACCAAGGATCTAGATATAACTACTGTGGAGGCAGAAAGTAAGTGTGGGTGCCAGGGGTAAATGAAAATGGGGGTCCTTTAACTGAACTATGTATAGAAAGAGGTTTGGTAATAAGTAATACATATTTTAAGAAAAAGGGGATAAATAAGATACGATATAGCATGTAATGAAAGTAATTTGTTAAATTATGTATTGGTGTATAACAAGTTTATGGGTAGACTTCAGGATGTGCATGTTTATAGAAGGGCAACAGATATATCAGATCATTATTTAGTTGTACCTACAGTCAAAGGTAGATGGGGCAAAAGGAAAATGGCAACAGCAAGCATGAGAGAGGTGAAAGTTTATAAACTAGGGGAGGAGGAAGTTAGGGTGAGATTTAAGCAACTACTGGGAGAAAGGTGGGCTAGTAAGAGTATAGATAGTATGGGGGTTGAAGAGGAGTGGGATAGTTTTAACCCTTTCAGGGTCCCCAGGCCCTCTCCGAGACTTGTTCTCAGGGTCCCCAAATTTAAAAAAAAAAAAAAAAAATAAAATTCATATATAAAGATAGAGAATCTTTTTCCGGTCATAATGACACCAAAAGTATGAAATTTGATGGAAAACTTACGGAATTATGCTCTCGCGAAGTTATCGGTCTCGATGTTTACGCATCGGTGATTTTGCCCACTTTGAGCCCTATATTCGGCCAATTCCAGTGTACTAGTCGACAAAAATCATAACTATTTCGCTAGAACTCCATTTTTTCTATCGAATGATTACAAGAAACCACTCATTTACCGATTTCAACTATCCAATAAAGTGGTCAGAATTTAGCAATTTTGCCAATTTCACACAAATTTCAAAAGATGCCAATTTCCGAATAGGGTCCAGAATATACAAGAAAGACATTCCTGACACTAAAATAACAAGTTCTCTGTTCGTTAGTAACATCCTCAGGCCCCTCTTATATTTCTTTGGCTTTCCACCTTGAATTTTTATTCTTAGAAAAAATAGAAGATTTACTGTTATACAGACTACTCCATTAGCGTAGAAATGGTATAAATAATATCAGCGCACTTGTGAAAGAATACAGTGGACCCCCGCATACCGTACGCATCGCATACCGTACAATCCGCATACCGGACGCTTTGATCGCAAAAATTTGGCCTCGCATACCGCCCAAAAACCCGCTCACCGTCCTTCGTCCGAGACGCATCCAATGTGCAGCCTGAGCCAGCCTCATATGTTCCGCCGGTGGCATTGTTTACCAGCCAGCCTCCGCGGTAACATCCAAGCATACAATCGGAATATTTCGTATTATTACAGTGTTTTCAGTGCTTTATCTGGAAAATAAGTGACCATGGACCCCAAGAAAGCTTCTAGTGCCAACCCTACAGCAATAAGGGTGAGAATTCCAATAGAAATGAAGAAAGAGATCATTGATAAGTATGAAAGTGGAGTGCGTGTCTCTGAGCTGGTCAGGTTGTACAAGAAACCCAAATCAACCATCTCTACTATTGTGGGCAACAGAAAGGCAATCAAGGAAGCTGTTCTTGCCAAAGGTTCAACTGTGTTTTCGAAACAGAGATCGCAAGTGATGGAAGATGTTGAGAGACTCTTATTGGTGTGGATAAATGAAAAACAGCTAGCAGGAGATAGCGTCTCTCAAGCGATCATAAGCGAAAAGGCTAGGAAGTTGCATGAGGATTTAATTAAAAAAATGCCTGCAACTAGTGATGATGTGAGTGAATTTAAGGCCAGCAAAGGTTGGTTTGAGAGATTTAAGAAGCGTAGTGGCATACATAGTGTGATAAGGCATGGTGAGGCTGCCAGTTCGGACCACAAAGCAGCTGAAAAATATGTGCAGGAATTCAAGTACATAGAAACTGAAGGACTGAAACCTGAACAAGTGTTTAATTGTGATGAAACAGGCTGTTTGGAAGAAAATGCCAAGCAGGACCTACATTACTCAGGAGGAAAAGGCACTCCCAGGACATAAGCCTATGAAAGACAGGCTTACTTTGTTGATGTGTTCCAATGCTACTGGTGATTGCAAAGTGAAGCCTTTATTAGTGTATCACTCTGAAACTCCCAGACCGTTCAGGCAAAAGAATGTCCTCAAGGAGAATTTGTGTGTGCTGTGGAGGGCAAACAGTAAGGCATGGTCACTAGGGACTTTTTCTATGACTGGTTACACCATGCATTTGCCCCCAATGTGAAAGATTACCTAACTGAAAAGAAATTAGAACTTAAGTGCCTCCTGGTGTTAGACAATGCCCCTGGTCATCCTACAGACGTGGCAGAGCGACTTTATGGGGACATGAAATTCATTAACATCAAGTTTTTGCCTCCTAATACCACTCCTCTCCTGCAGCCCATGGACCAGCAGGTTATTGCAAACTTCAAAAAACTGTACACAAAAGCTCTGTTTGAAAGGTGCTTTGTAGTGACCTCAGAAACTCAACTGACTCTAAGAGACTTTTGGAGAGATCACTTTAATATCCTCAATTGTGTAAACCTTATAGGTAAGGCTTGGGAGGGAGTGACTAAGAAGACCTTGAACTCTGCTTGGAGAAACTGTGGCCAGAATGTGTAGACAAAGGGATTTGAAGGGTTTGAGGCTAACCCTGAGAGGATTATGCCAGTTGAGGAATTCCATAGTGGCATTGGGAAAGTCCTTAGGGTTGGAGGTTAGTGGAGATGATGTGAAAGAGTTGGTGGAGGAGGACAATGAAGAACTAACCACTGATGAGCTGATAGATCAACTTCAACAGCAAGAGGCCAGACCTGAGGAAACTGGTTCAGAGGAGGGGAGAGAGAAATTGAAGAAGTTGCCTACTACAAAGATTAAGGAAATCTGTGCAAAGTGGCTTGAAGTGCAAACCTTCATGGATGAAAATCACCCTCACACAGCTATTGCAAGCCGTGTTGGCAACCTGTACACTGACAATGTTGTGAAACACTTTAGGGAAGTCATAAAGGAACGAGAGGTACAGGCCACTATGGACAGATATGTTGTGCGAAAGAAGTCCAGTGACTCTGAAGCTGGTCCTAGTGGCATTAAAAGAAGAAGGCAAGTAACCCCAGAAAAGGACTCGACACCTCAAGTCTTAATGGAAGGGGATTCCCCTTCTAAACACTAACACACTCTCTCCCCTCCTCCCATCCCATCAATCATCACCAGATCTTCAATAAAAGTAAGTGTCATGTAATTGTGCATGCCTTTTTCAGTTTGTGTGTATTAAAATTAACATTTCATGTGGTAAAAAAATTTTTTTTTCATACTTTGGGTGTCTTGCACGGATTAATTTGATTTCCATTATTTCTTATGGGGAAAATTCATTCGCATACCGAACATTTCGCATAACAACCAGCCCTCTTGCACGGATTAAGGTCGCTATGCGGGGGTCCACTGTATTAGACTCACCAGTTGACGTGTATTGGACGCTTGGCATGATTTGTTTGCTTTTGAACTTTGGTAAAAATTTAACATTTCTGCTAATTTGAGCTCAATTTCAAGGTACTTTTCATTGTAAAACCAGTCAAAATCATCTCAATTTCTGTAATATGTCTTCCATTCTATAAAATGAGACCAGGAAAACTAGAATACAACAATAAATACCATACAAAAATACAGTGCAAAGTTGCTGTTTTAATCCAAAAACACGGTCTAAGTTTTTTTTCTCATTACAGTGTGCTGCAGGATTTTTTTTATACTGCGCACACTGATCACATAGACCCATTCTTTTATATGTAGGCCTACCAGCTTTCTCTCACTAGATCTGAGGGCACTAGAATTTAGGCGTACTAGTACGTCAAAATCCCTGGGGCGTAAGCTGTACTAGTACCGCCGAAACCCTGAAAAGGTTAAAAATGCAGTGTTAGAATGCGGCTATAGGAGGGCGGGTGCAGGAGGAATGAGGAGTGATTGGTGGAATGATGAGATAAAGGATGTGATAAAAGGGAAAAAGGTCACTTATGAGAAGTTTTTACAAAACAGAAGTGATATAAGAAGGGTCGAGTATATGGAGAGTAAGAGAGAGGTGAAGAGAGTGGTGAGGGAGTACAAAAGGAGAGCAAATGATAGAGTGGGTGAGGTGCTGTCAACAAATTTTGTTGAGAATAAGAAAAAATTCTGGAGCGAGATAAACAGGTTAAGAAAGCCTAGGGAACAAATGGATCTGACAGTTAAAAGCAAAATAGGGGAGTTAGTAGATGGGGAGTTGGAGGTCTCAGGAAGATGGTGGGAATATTTTGAGGAACCATTAATTACTGATGATGAAAGGGAGGCAGTAATTTCATGCACTAGCTGGTGAGGCATAACATCTTTTAGGAGTGAAGCAGAGCCAGATATGGGTGTGGGGAAGGTACACGAGGCATTGAATGAAAAGGGGGTAAAGCAGCTGGAACTGATGGGATCATGACAGAGTGGTTGGTACTTTTGCTCAAGAAATGTATGAAAGAGGGAAAGGGACCTAGGGATTGGCAAAGAGCTTGTATAGTTCCTTTATGTAAAGGGAAGGGGGGACAAAAGAGATTGTAAAAATGATAGGGGAATAAGTTTACTGAGTATACCAGGTAAAATGTATGGTAGGGCTGTTACTGAAAGAATTAGAGGTAAGACAGAGAGCAGGATTGCAGATAAACAATGAGGCTTTAGAATAGATAGGGGATGTGTAAACCAAGTATTTACATTGAAGCATAGAAGTGAACAATATTTAGATAAAGGTAGGGAAGCATTCACTGCATTTATGGATTTAGAAAAGGCATATGACAGAGTGGAAAGAGGAGCAATGTGGCAGATATTGCAAGTGTACAGAATAAGTAGTAAGTTAATAAATGTTGTAAAGAGTTTTTATGAGTATAGTGAGGCTCAGGTTAGGGTGTGTAGGAGGGAGATTATTTTTTTTTTTTCAATAAACCTGCTGTATCCTACCAAGGCAGGGTGACCAAAAAAGTAAAACCAAAGTTTTTTTTGTAAATTTAGTAATTTATACAGGAGAAGGGGTTACTAGCCCCTTGCTCCCGGCATTTTAGTCGCCTCTTACAACATGCATGACTTATGGAGGAAGAATTCTTTTCCACTTCCCCACAGAGATAAGAAATAAAAAACAAGAACTACTGAGAAAACAGAAGAAAACCAAGATGGGTTTGTAAATATATATGCGTGAACATGAATGTGCAGTGTGACCTAAGTGTAAGCAGAAGCAGCAAGATATACCTGTTATCCCACGTGTTTACGAGACAGAAAAAAGACCCAGCAATCCTACCACCATGTAAAACAATTACAGGTTTCCATTTTACACTCACTTGGCAGGATGGTAGTACCTAGAGGAAGATTACGTTCCAGTAAAAGTAGGACTTAGACAGGTACGTGTAATGCCACCATTGTTGTTTAACATATTTATAGATGGGGGGTTGTAAAAGAAGTAAATGCTAGGGTGTTGTGGAGAGGGGTGGGATTAAATTATGTCTAATCAAATACAAAATGAGAGTTACACAGTTGCTTTTTGCTGATTATACTGTGATTTTGGGAGATTCTAATGAGAAGTTGCAAAGGTTAGTAGATGAGTTTGGGAAGGTGTGTAAAGGAAGAAAGCTGAAAGTGAACATAGATAAAAGTAAGGTGATGAGGGTATCAAACAATTTAGTTAAAGAAAAATTGGATGTCACATTGGAGGAAGGGGGGTATGGAAGAAGTGAATGTGTTCAGATATTTAGGAGTAAACTTGTCAGCAGATGGGTTTATGAAGGATGAGGTTAACCATACAAGTGATGAACAAAAAAAAAGTGGGTGGTGCATTGAGGTATCTATGGAGAAAAAAACATCATCCATGGAAACAAAGAAAGGAATGTATGAGAGATAAGTGGTACCAACACTCTTATATGGGTGTGAAGCATGGGTTATAAATGCTGCAGTAAGGAGGCGGCTGGAGGTAGTGGAGATGTTATGTCAAAGGGCAATAAGAGGTGTAAATATTAAGCAGACAATTTGTAGTGTGGAAATTAGGTGGTGTGAAGTTACTAAAAGTATTATTCAAAGGGCTGAAGAGGGGATGTTGAGGTGGTTTGATCATTTAGAGAGGATGGAGCAAAATAGAATAACTTGGAGGGTGTATAAATCTGTAGTGGAGGGGAGGAGGGGTAGGGATCATTCTAGGAGAGGATGGAGGGAGGGGTAAAAGAGGCTTTGTGTGCAAGGGGCTTGGATACGCAGGCGGCATGTGTGAACATGTTAGATAGGAGTGAATGGAGACAAATGATTTTTGGGACCTGACGAGCTGTTCGAGTGTGAGCAGAGTAATATTTTGTGAAGGAATTCAGGGAAACTGGTTAGCTGGACTGGAGTCCTGGAGGTGGGAAGTACAATCCCTGCACTTAAAAGGAGGGGTCTGGGATATTAGCTGTTTGGAGTGACATCTAAACTGTTGTATCTGAGTGCCTCTGCAAAGACAGTGATTATGTGTGAATGATGGTGAAGGTGTTTCTTTTTTGGGTCACCCTGCCTCAGTGGGAGATGATTGAAGTGTTAAAAAAAAAAAAAAAAAAAAAAAAAAAATGCACAAAAATGACGTACTATATATGTTTGGACTTACATATACGAATAGACAAAAGCACCAAGTATGACAACAAAAGTAAACAAGGTATTAACTTAGATGAGTAAATATTTAATGATTAACACTTAAAATTACAAACCCAATTAAAAAAATCCAATCCTTTAGCTAATATTAAATGTTAACTGCAATTTTTGTGACAGAGTAAGGACAAGTGCCACAGAAATAAATTGTAGCAAAATAGGTAGGCCTACAGAAGAAAACATCATGAGCCTTTATAATTTTTGTCACATAAATGTAAATTCCTTTCTTTAACTATCTAAACAAAATTTAATTTTGATGTCTCCACTACTGATGGATTCTTCCTGCTGTAATACATTAAGTTCTTTGGCCTTTATAATGAAGTCTGATAAATTAGTATGCAGGTGAACTTGCTCGCTTATTTTTTTATGGGTCATGCTGTCACATGCTTCTTTCCTTAGCTTGTATTTTATCTGACAAATATTTAATCACTTTGCTTAAAATTTGTAAGTACACAATCAAAATAGGTGCTGATCAAAACTTCTCATTTTGTGGTAAAAGAACATGTTACTTTAAAATGCAGAACATTATATGATTCAGTTTTCCAAAGACACCCTCAACCAATTTTGACATTGATTTCACTTACCAGTAATTAATTTTCAGTGGAAAATGCTGTCTTTAATATATATATATTTATCAACTTTTTCAGCTGTAAATTGATGACCTATAAATGCTAGTTATTTGAGAACCTACTAAATATTAGTTTTAGAAAGGTTCATTTTCAACTGTACCAGTGTGTTTGCTTCTTCAGATATTTTATTCATGACTGTAATTTAATCACTGTAAAACTATGATTTTCTCACTAAAATAATAATAGTTGAATAAGGGCCTTTTAAAATATCCTTCAGTTGTATCCCAATAAAGTGACAAACAAAATTCTTGCAGTTTGAAGTGTTATTTGAACTGCAATATCCATGTCCTTCTGACAATACAATTACTGAGCAAGCAATGAGTGTGTTGTCTTTGGGTTGCCCTACCTTGGTAGAAGAGTTAATGTTTCAAAAAGAAAAGCTGTTGAAAAAACTTGCAAGATTGATTTACTTTGGTATGCAAACACTTGCTGTAAACATTATTTCTTTTATACTAGTGGAAGCATTATACTCCAGGCAAACAAGTTACATAGCTTAATTCTTTCACCACCACTACCATAAGTAAATATGGTGGTAATAATATCTCTGCAAGCAATGATGTGTACCATATAGTATACAGTACCAATATATGGTATTTACTCTCCTTTACCATATATCAACAATACAGTATATCCTCATATCAATTTCGTGCTCTCCAAAGAGTAGTTTCCTGTTGCTGTTGTAACAAGTGGATAAAGGGAAAGAAAATGGTCATGAACAACTGAGTACAAGGAGGCCTGGTCACAGACCGGGCCGCGGGGGCGTTGACCCCCGGAACTCTCTCCAGGTAAACTCCAGGTAAACAACATCCCCTTTTAAATGAGTTAAAGGCATTTGCTGTCTAATCTGATCAGTTATAAATGGTTGGGCTATAACTAAAAATATGCCCAAAGGACATTTTGTCAGTGTTATAAGTCTCACCGCATGTCTGCTTATTGAAAATTAAGAAGATTTCATCAGTTTGGGGTCTCTGTGTGTAACAGTACTATCTCTGTAAATAAGGACAGATGGATAAAGGGTAATCTGGTAAAATTATAATGCTCACTGAAAATTTGAATGGGCATAGAAAACTATTCAATAATATGCAAGTGTTCTATTGGGTACCAACTATACCAATGTTTTATCATGGTTTAGTGCCATTTTTTAATAGATGGTCATTTCCCATCAAGACAGCACACGAAGAAAAAACAATGACCATCATTCATTTTCTAACAACATTTTCCAAATGTCACAAACATGTAACCTGTAACCGAATGTATATTTTTCATGTCTGCTTTATAATTAGTTTATAAGATCCAAGAGGAAGCATATAAAGTATAATACACAGATAATGTCTCGACAATTCCTTAAAAATTATTTAAGATTCTGTATCAAAAATAAATGTCATATTTTTATGTATTTTATTTTGCTTGTTATTTACTCATGCATATTTACTGAATAAAATCTGACAGGCTTCAATACAGTTTTTTCTAACTGTAATTTTATTTTATATTTACTCCTGTGACACTAATAATTTTTTTGTGACTGCCAGATGTAATTAAAATAAAGGTAAATTATTTATATTTGTTAATTAAATATCAAAGTACAGTATACACTGAATCTGAATCATATTTTTTTTCACAAACTACAATTCCTGGAATATGTAAAAACTATTTTAATATTACAAAAAACACAAAATTAAACAATTACATACCATCTTTCTACATGCAAGCTGTTAAACAGTATGCGAGAAGTCCTTCGTGTAAGCAATTTGAAGCCACATTGAGTGTCACGAATACCACGCACAGCAAACAGCCATACCAAGGTATGAAAGCCATACATCAATATGGTACGAAAGAAGGAGCGTGTTGCAACTGACTCTTCTTCAAGATGGGCACGAGATCCACATGATACTGCAAGAGCTTCACTCAGATCACTTTCCTCTAATATAAAAGAAAAATTAAGCATCAGTGCAACAACAAAACAAAAAGGAACACAACAGTCATCAAAATAACAAAAATGAAAGAATCTAGATGGTACCCCTACTGCTTTCCCAATATACTCTTCTTTCAGACCCAACTGTAATACACTTAGCCACAGCCAAAAATAATTTTACATGAAACATGCTTCTTCAGAGGAAGTGAATTTCACTTGTACTTAACCTTTTCACTGCCCAGACTCCCAAAATTTAATATTGCTCCCAGTGTCCACTTTAAGAAAAAAAAATTTCTTCTGAAATGGTAGAGAATCTATTTCTAAGGTAATAACTCCAAAAAAGTATGAAATTCGATGGAAAACCTATAGAATTACGTAAGTGCAAAGTCAGTGGTCTTGCCACAATTTACACTGGCAATTATGCACATCGAATCCTATTTTAAACCAATTTCATTGCTTCAAGCGATCAAATTCTTGGCTATTTCACTAGTATGCTTTCCACTGTCAACTGAGCACAAGAAACTGCCCATTCAGCTATTACAACTACCCTATAAAGGTCACAGAAATCAGTAATTTGGCCAATTTTACACAACTCAAAAAATATTAATTTAAAAATAGAAAAAATAAACATTGTAGACATTCTTAGTACAAAACAATGTTACCCCTGTTCATTAATCACATTCCCAGGCATCTCTTATATTACACTTGCCTTCCATGTTGAATTTATACTCGCACAAAAATAAAAGATTTAGTATATTTCTCAGATAATAATGTCAGATAGTAAAGCCACCATGGTTGTTTAATATATTTATAGATGGGGTTGTAAAAGAAGTAAATGCTAGGGTGTTGGGGAGAGAGGTGGGATTAAATTATGGGGAATCAAATACAAAATGGGAAATGACAGATACTTTTTGCTGATGATACTGTGCTTATGGGAGATTCTAAAGAAAAGTTGCAAAGGTTAGTGGACGAGTTTGTGAGTGTGTGTAAAGGTAGAAAGTTGAAAGTGAACATAGAAAAGAGAAAGGCAATGAGGGTATCAAATGATTTAGATAAAGAAAAATTGGATATCAAATTGGAGAGGAGTATGGAAGAAGTGAACGTTTTCAGATATTTGGGAGTTGACATGTCAGCGGATGGATGTATAAATTATGAGATTAACCATAGAATTGATGAAGGAAAAAGGCGAGTGGTGCATTGACGTATATGTGAAGACAAAAAACATTATCTATGGAGGCAAAGAAGGGAATGTATGAAAGTATAGTGGTACCAACACTCTCATATGGGTGTGAAGCTTGGGTTGTAAATGCTGCAGCGAGGACACGGTGGAGATGTCCTGTCTAAGGGCAATGTGTAGTGTAAATATTATGCAGAGAATTCAGAGTGTGGAAATTAGGAGAAGGTGTGGAGTTAATAAAAGTATTAGTCAGAGGGCTAAAGAGAGGTTGTTGAGGTGGTTTGGTCATGCAGAGAGAATGGATCAAAGTAGAATGATATGGAGAACGTATAAATCTGTAGGGGAAGGAAGGCGGGGTAGGGGTCGTCCTCGAAAAGGTTGGAGAGAGGGGGCTCAAGGAGGTTGGACTTCCAGCAAGCATGCGTGAGCGTGTTAGACAGGAGTGAATGGAGACGAATGGTATTTGGGACCTGACGAGCTGTTGGAGTGTGAGCAGGGTAATATTTAGTGAAAGGATTCAGGGAAACCAGTTATTTTTACATAGCCGGACTTGAGTACTGGAAGTGGGAAGTACAATGCCTGCACTTTAAAGGAGGGGTGTGGGATATTGGCAATTTGGAGGAATATGTTGTGTATCTTTATACATATATACTTCTAAACTGTTGTGTTCTGGGCACCTCTGCAAAAACAGTGATTATGTATGAGTGAGGTGAAAGTGTTGAATGATGATGAAAGTATTTTCTTTTTGGGGATTTTCTTTCTTTTTGGGTCACCCTGCCTCAGTGGGAGATGGCCAACTTGTTAAAAAAAAAAAAGAAAACAGGAATGACTGATCATGGTTTATGGTGTCACAATAATTGAATCAGACCTATTAACCCTTTCAATATCCAGACCCCTGAAATTAAATTTACTCTTAATGTTCAAAAATTAAATAAAATGCACCAGCAATTTCACTGACTGAGTCATATTTTAAGCCAATTCCATTGTTCAAGTCAACCAAATTCTTAGCTATTACACTATCATGTTCTACATTTTATCAATTGAGCACAAGAAACCACCCATTCAACCTTATAAAGTGATCAGAATTCAGTAATTTGGCCAATTTTATTCAAAATTAAAAAAATACGAATTTAAAAAGTGAGTCCATAATAAACAGTGTAGACATTCCTTGCATTAAAACAACACTTCTTCAGTTCATTAGTCATGTTCCCAGGCCTCTCCTACATGACACTTCCTTTTCATTTTGAATTCTTGTTCACACAAAAATAGAAGATTTACTCTATTTTTGTTTTTCCATCAAGCTGGCCATATGCCACCAAGGCAGGGGACTTAAAAAAAAAAAAAAAAAAAGTTTCTCTAACTTTAGTAATGTATGCAGGAGAAGGGGTTACTAGCCCTTTGCTCTGGCCATTTTACAAGAAGAATTTTAATTTTGACACAATATATAGTTGTACAAAGGAATATAATAGTTGGGTGTACATGCCAAAAGCCCCTTTGGATGCAGAGCATTTCAGGCAAACTTAATATTAACTTAAGATTAGTAAGGCAGTAACAGATAATTATATGGACAATGATGAGTTAGAGTACAGTAAATACAGTTTTAAAATTAGTTTATAAAAATTACATTATTACAAACAATGGTACAATTTGAATTAAGTTACAATATGGAAATATTACAACGGTACAATTTAAAAACAACTTACAATATGAAATTATTACAATTTAGTACAAATTAGAACTATTTAAAATATGAAATTATTACTATTTAGTATTTAATAAAATGAAATTTAAACATCTAATTTTGAGGTAACGAGTTTATGGTTAAGCAATCCTTAGCACAATATACAGTAAGGAAGTTGAATTAAGTTTAAGTTGAGCAGTCTTAAATTACAGTGGACCCCCGGTTAACGATATTTTTTCACTCCAGAAGTATGTTCAGGTGCCAGTACTGACCGAATTTGTTCCCATAAGGAATATTGTGAAGTAGATTAGTCCATTTCAAACCCCCAAACATACACGTACAAACGCACTTACATAAATACACTTACATAATTGGTCGCATTCGGAGGTAATCGTTATGCGGGGGTCCACTGTATTTAGAATTTTTTTTTGTATAGCCTCTTACAACACACATGGTTTGTGGAGGAGGAATTGTGTTCCACTTCCCCATGGAGATTTACTCTATTTCTCAGATAATAAAATATAACCAGGAAAGATTGGTCATGATTTACAGCATCCCAATAACTGAATCAGACATTGAAAACCCATAAAAAAGATTGGGGGTTGTAGGGGGCCTTACCCCTTCTTTGGAACATCAGTAAAAATCTAATATTTCAGCTACTTTTAGTTCATTTTCAAGCTGCTTCCAGTCCTGAAACCAATCAAAAATCACCTCTATTTCAGTAATACATCTTACATTCTATCAAATGATACCAAGAAACAGCCAAGAAAACTATAAAAACCATCTGAGAAAACATTGCAAATTCACTATTTTAAACCATACACATAGTCAAAGTTTTTTTTTTTTCCCATCATGCATCATGTGAGACAGGATTTTTTTTATATGGTGCACACTCACTGCACAGACCCATTCTTTCATATCTAGGCCAAAACTTACTGCTCACAGCTTATCTGAGTGAGCTGAGCTCATAACATAGAACTACATCAGAGACCCTGGCCTCAATTACGTAGTTCTATGTGATGGAGAGCAAAAGAGTTAAAAACCTATAAAATAGACTGGGGGGTGAAGGCTACTTTGAGCTGAATTTCAGCTACTTCTGGTCCTGAAGTCAACCAAAATAATCTCTCAGTAGTATGTCTTTCATTCTATCAAATGATACCAAATACTAATAGCCAATAAACCCATAAAAAGCATCCATAATTTGTTTATGTCATAAAAATTCTAACTTTTAAAATGATGAAAAATTCAGCAAATGGTGGAATATTTTTGTCAACATTATACAGTATATACAACATATAGTGTATCTGCATCTTCATTATTATGATAAGACATACAGGAAAAACAAATATGAAAAATTTCACCATACACCACAAATGCTCAAATTCAAACATTAACTAGCAATAAACACGAAAGGGCTTAACCCCTTGAGGGTCCGTGCCATAGTTCCACGGCTTTGAAGCCAGGGTCAGTGCCTTAGTACTACATCATGAGCTCAGCTCACTCAGATAAGCTGTGAGCAGTAAATTTGGGCCTAGATATGAGAGAACGCACCTATGTAGTAAGTGTGCACTACATGAAACAAATCATGCAGAACGCAGTGCATAATGAGAAAAATGCAACCGTGTTTTTTGGATTAAAACAGCGACTTTGCGGTGTATTTTCATATGGTTTTTACGGTTGTATTCACGGTTTCTTGGTCTCATTTGATAGAATGGCAGATATATTACAGAAATAGAGATGATTCTGATTGGTTTTAGTACTGAAAATAGGTTGAAATTGAGCTCAAAATAGCAGAAACGTTCGATTTTTGCTGATGTTCAAGAGTAAACAAAGCACGTGTCCAATAAATGTCAGCTGGTGGGTCTAATGTGCATTCATGAATGCGCCGATGTTATTTATACAATTACATGTATTACAATATTGCATAACAGTAAATGTTCTATTTTTTGGTGTGAATAAAAATTCTTTATTATTTTTATTAACACATCGGCTGATTCCTACCAAGGCAGGGTGGCCTGAAAAAGAAAAACTTTCATCATCATTCACTCCATCACTATCTTGCCAGATGGGTGCTTTACACTACAGTTATAAAACTGCAACATTAACACCCCTCCTTCAGAGAGTAGACATTGTACACTTCCCATCTCCAG